GGCTCTATGTGGTGAGGGTGGATACCTATACTGTATGGTCTCAATGATGGAGTGTGGAAGATTGTCTTGATTTGATGGCTTAAGATATCCAATGAAAGAGAGAGATGGGCATATAGCTAGAGAGCATAGGAAAATGGAACTTCCAATGTGGATGAGATGAGATGAGATGAGATGAAGCATTGGGTGCATCAAACAGCTGGCCTTGGGCTTGTGGCTGTATGCGTGCAATTCCATTTGAGACCAAAGGCGGTTGCGTAAATGCAACACCTGGGCACGAGAGATTGGGATCCTGACTTTGAGCAAATTTTTTGCCATACAAGCCATGGAGCAAATGCTCTAGACAGCAGCACAATATGGATGGTGCTTCGATTGGGTTTGATTGTCCTCCAAGAACACATGGGCACCATGTGAGAGGGAAACTTGCTGGGCAATCAATGATGGGGATGGGGTCCATGGAATGCCTGGTGCAAACGGGGTTTGTGCATGATTAGGTGGCCCAATGGAAGATCAGAACCATTTGGGTACAACATTGGTTGCTCCTTATGATTCATGCTATTGGTAGGGCAATTTTTTAGCACAATCTATTGGTTTACTTTTGGGTGGGTGTTGGTGAGGCCCAATGAGGTTTTGAGCTTGGGTGGCATCGCGAGAATGTTTTTGGCAATGTTGGGTGAATATTGGGAGCATGCTGAGCACGCCAGGTTTGGTACAACCTGACTTCATGTATGTCTATGTGTGGGCAAGAAGGTTAGGGTGAAGAGAAGGTAGCCTTGGGAATGAGTAGTGGCCACACAGCCAATTCAGACCCTCAGTGTATCTAAGGCTGGATCATTCCATGGGCTTCATAAGATTCTTTGGAAGATTTTGTCATAGATGGGGGGATATGGAGCATAGATCTGAAGAGCCATTGGGTGAGAGCAGTGGAGATGAGCAGGATTGGTCCAATCGAACTTGTGGGATAGGATGTGAGCTCCCAAGTGACCCTGAGAATGAGGATGAGGCTTATTATGGGTATGGACGTCAAGAAGGCCATGCAAAACCCAATTCCAATCAGTCATCCAGGTCCAGTACTACTAAGCAAGTTTCTCAACTTTTGTTGGGCGTGGCGGGCACATTGTGTTTCAAGATAATGATCTTCTCTCCATTTCATAAAGAATGTGGAGGGAGAAGCCCAAAAAGTGCTACCTTTGAAACAATGAGAATGCTTATGGGCAAGGAAGGGTAGAGTTGGATCCAGAGGTTTTTTAAACAAAAAAAGTTGTTTTTGTTTAGGAAACAGGAGCACAAGAACATATCTAGACTATAACCATGGAAACTCTGACTAAACATGACAAAATCTAAGAAAAACACAACAAAAGCACGTAAAAACCACACCCGCATAACGTCGAGCTCTCTTTTTCAAGGGGGGCGAAGCGAGGGAGCTTGGTGACTCAAAGTTGTACGCGGAGAGTTCGCGGCTTGCAGCAGACACTTGTAGAGCTTCGAGCATTTCCGTGTGACTATCCAACATGGCGAGCCCGGTGTAGAAGCAGCGCGTTGCACCAAAAGCGCAATCGGTCCCTGAGACCAAGGTGAAGGCGCGGCTGTTTTTGGTTGTGTTGCGTTGGTGGATGGTAGTTGTCAGTAGACATGTTGGGGTCTGCAGTCGGGGGTGAGTGTGGAGATTTAGCCATGGTTTTGGGAGTGGCAGCTGGCGTTAACAGGACATTGCAACCCTGCTGACGTTGGAGAAGAGCAAGTATGCCAACATCGCTCTCGAATTGGTGGTCGTCAAAGTGAGTGTATTGCGCACTGCAGCCAGCAAGCGGGTGTACGATGTGTCTTGGCGAGAGCAAGGGACTTGGGCAATTCCAGAGGACCTGGCATCGGTTCAATGTACCTTTGTTTGTCGGTAAGGGAGTCGAACAGATATGCGCAAGTGTTTCGTGGTTCGGTTGTCGGGGCTTGAGCAAGTTGCGATGTAACCTATATAGTAGACTAGCACCGGAAAGAGTCTAGTTTTGGGGGGCATCTTTTTGGTCAGTATTTGAGGGACACATGGGGTCATGAGGACGGAGAGGCAATGATGTGGAATATGTTGTAGCCGGAGGGGAGGTGGCAGAGCATGCGTGTTGTCGTGGGTTTCATTGTGGCTGGGAGGTGTTTCATTGTGGCTGGGGGGTGTTTCATTATGAGCCCTTGGGGCATGAGGTGACATTGGCAGACGCCGCCGGCGTGCTGTGCGGAACCTGAAGTGCATATCTCTCAGGCGGTCTTGCGAGAGGTGGCTGCAAATCCATTGGTGTTGAAGCTTGAGGGCACTGATGAGACGGTGCTGACATTGAAGGAGGAGGAGACCATTGCCATCAACCCATCGCCAGAGCTGGTCTGTGATGATTTCCAAGTGCCGTACATAAGGCCCGCCAGATTCGGGTTGCGGCAACCTGGCGCAGGAAACTACAGGTAGGTGACGGGAGGTAAGGAAGCTAGTGAGCGCACAGGATTTTCCATGGTTTTCAGAAACTTGATGGAGACTGTGGCTTGAAACGCTGTGCAGGAAAGCTACATTCATCTGCGAGGGTGGGTGAGTTCGGTGGGCACCATCCAACACGGTCGGGAGAAGAATTTGGCGTACCAGGACGGGAGGATTGATGCTGTGAAGTGCTTCTAAAACTTGGTAGCATTGTTCAAAGCCAGGTTGTGGATTAATATTGTAAGAAAAGTACCCTTGTTGGCCAAGTAGTGAGCCCGTCGTTTGATGCGGAAGCAGACAGAGAGAGAGACAGAGAGCGATATAGTTGTCCACGATGTAGTTCTCCAAATGCATGTGTTTTCACACATCGATTGGTAGAGCCTGCAAAGAAACATCGACTGACGTAAGTGTGCAATGCCGACGTGTCGATAGCGATCTGGTCATATATGTATGCATCTATCTAACTGTATATACACGTGAGCGTATTGTACGGAGCTCATAGTGCTGCCCGTGTGCCCAGAAATTTGTGCCGGTCGCGCATGACACAAGTGCCGGGGACGAATCGCTTGAGGCGAGTAGAGCCGGGGGCACGGTAGCCACAGCCAAAGAAGTACCTACGAGATTCATTCTGCCAATGGTCGGCAAGTGCAGCAACTGGGAACAGCTGCGTGCCCCTTCCGCAGCAAGCATTTTATGAAGTGATAGTGTTCAGAAAGATGTCCTGCGTGCCAGGAAGGTGCGGAGATCACAGCTTGGTACCTGCAGAAGAACAAGAACAGCGAAGAAGACCGCGCTTTGGGCATTCAATTCCTCTTACCTGCTGAGGATGGCCACTGCTAAAAAGAAAGAAGTGGTGGCAATGGAGATCGAGTTGTATACAGCGAGCCCGTGCATAGATTGCGTACTGCAACCCTGCAGGGATTGTCAGACGATGGATTGCGCAGTAAGTCTCAGTAAGTGTGATCAGGTATCCCTGGAAAGCAATGGTTCACCGAGATGTGTTTGTGGGGGGGCTGTGAGAGTTGTACACCCATGGATACAATATTTCATACACTCACATTGGGTGAGCATCGCTGTCTTGACCGGGTTTTTCAAGGACGCCGCGCAAATCGAGAAGGCATTTTGCGCAGTTCGTCCGAAGCGTTCGAGACACTTCGCCAAGACAATTAATTGGCTCAAGCGCGCGCAAAATGTTGCAGCTCGTGCGTGGGAACTGTGGGCCGGCGAAGAGCGAAGGGTTAAAAGGAGAAGTGTACGAAGTGTTTACGTTCACGCTTTGTTCACATGAGGATTTTCATAGGTGGTGGCGGCGATGGTGGTGAAGCTAATTGCCACGTGGTGTTCGTTGGACCTATTGGTGCAGTACCGGCAAGCTGCTGGTACTCCAAGGACCTACCCAGCTCCATGTTGATGTTGTATTGACCTGCGAGTGTTTGTGCATCTCTGATAGGGACCACTGCAGTGATTGCAAGAAGCAAACGGAAGTCCAAGTTGAGAAGGACTGGGTTGGATTGCGGCCATGGCACTCATGGGTGAGATTGCCCAAAAGGAGAAGCGGTTGACACACCAGTGGTTTCATTTTGGTTGGAAACAGTGTTGCACTTCCCCACGATCCATGAAAGCACTCACCAAACACTAAGAGAGGACGGAAGAAAGGTTGTAAAAACAATCACAAAACCAAATGCTTCACTGGGCGGAGTTGTGCTATAGCTTCGACCATTGAAGACTCCGACTCGCTTCCATGGAATGGTGTCAAGTTTTGCTTTCATTGTGCTTCTCGATGATCATTCATGGTTGATTCTATTCGTGAACTTGGGCTATTGAATAGTTCGATTGATCGGTGGATTTTTTGTTTGAAGAATAGATACTGTTGCGTTTGACAGCTAGAGCTGAGGGACTGAATTGTCACTCAATCCAGGGGACTGCACTACCATGCGGCTCCGAATTATCTCTTTTTGTTTTCGGGGTGTGAACCGGGCCCCCAGAATCTCTAACGTTGCTTTCGGAAGCCGTAAAAGAAGTTGGTGAAGCAGCTTCAGGAGGCCAGGCCGCAGCCTCAAACAAGCCTCCCCTATAGTGGCTTGATACCGCCCCGAACACTCGGCGCCGCCACGGCTTTCCCCGGACACTCGGCGCCGCCGCCGCAGGCCCTGTAGCCCTGGACAGCGAAACACCATCCGTGAGCGCCAACCGCTCAGTGCGCCCCCAGACATCAAGACCGTGCTCGGACCCTCCACACCATATGGACTCGCACCTTCTCTCACACGCTCCCCTTGCAGCCGCAAGGGGTCGGCGGATATGATATAATGATAATGGGTAGTGATCCAGTGCCAAAGAAGCAGTGGAAGAAGAGCATGAGTGTATTGTCACACTCTAGATGACCACTGTTCGATGAAATTTGGGTGGAATGCCCAGGAGCAGACTGTGTCCATGCGCATATCCGCCGATACCATGGACTGTACACTTGCGCTCTACCGATTGTGTTTCTCCGAATAATGCAGTTTTACATGTCACCAAAGCGGGCGTTTGGGGCAATGTTGCCATGCAGGTCAAATCTGAGTTGCAGACTGGCGCCCCCAATGCAATGTTCATATCATCCAATCCAACCGCGGCGATCACAACACTGCAGCCTGCCAGCAGTAAAATGCATGATAGTACGTGGATTTGCTTAACACCAGTGTGGGAGCTCCAAGCAAGTCTGAGCAGATTTGCACATTCTACTCATAGTAGACATGAAAGTATTTTGTGAGTTGTGAAAGGCGGTCAATATTGGCAATATGCTGCAGTGGGCCTGCTGTTCTTTGAACATGGTGAGGCACACGCCGACGATGAAGTTCTTGAACTCTGCACCAGCAAATGCAAGGCTTCCTGAGATGGTGCAGAAGTTACCAGGTGGGTTGAAGTTGGTTGGCTGCCGCAGTTTCCTGGAAACGGTTCAAGCATGCATAGAAAGACTGAATCGGTGCCATACATATTAGAAGGACTTTAATTCATTGTTGGCATCAGAACACTGTTTTTCCTGAGTGATTGAAACTAGTCAGTAGCTAGAGGAAACTGTGCTTGTGTTCTTTGTTAACCAAAAATTATTTAACCTGCCCTGCCGACAAGCATTAAGACATAGGTACGACATGACAAGGCATCAAAAATTTAATCCAAATGATGCAGTTCGGAACAGTTCGTACGGATGACACACTTGTGGCAACACCAAAGTGTTGCAGCGCCTTGAGTGTTCATCCCCAGGACATCTTCAATCTATTTGTGTGTTGGGTGATTCCACTCTTCTGGAGCTATTGCAGCTGCGACCAGCTGAACAACTTGAGATCATTTGCACCTCAAAGACGGACCTACCAAAGGAACCTCGGTTGGCACACATTGAGCTTCACGGGCACAGATTCTACTTTCGTTCTGAAAAACAGTTTGACCAAAACCTTCCCATTGAGGAGCACGAACATTGATCATTTTCGATGATCAACCAGTTTTTGTGAACTGGCCACACCGTTTGAGTTGCTAGATTTGCACCGCTAGATGGTGGACAAGCCCCAGATGCTGGAATCTAGAAGTAGCAACTAAACTTTTTTGCCTGACTTCCTTTCAGAAGGCTGCGGTTTTCTCAGCAACCAGGATCCGAAGGTCTTGGACTATGCCGCTGAGTGACTTGGTGAATCTAATCCAGGAACTGCTCCCCCGAGCGAAATTGTTGAAATCACTGAAATAACCCTTGTATACCCTTGTGATATCTTGTGATCCTTTGTGCAATTCTGGGTCCTAGAGTCCTAGCTGTTCATTGACGTGCTGATTTTGGAGATCGTTCCAATAGCTTACGGGTTGCAGACTACTAAGTAGGTCCAGGTATTGGGCTCCCCGCGGTCGCGGTGATATATCAGTTTATAAGGCTTCGTCCGTATAGCTACTCACTCTGCGACTGACACCTCAGGAGTCCTTTTTGTTCTGGTTCTCTTGCACGGCCAATGGTTTGACAAGAATCCTCAGCAACCCTTGGTCCTTTCATGTTTAGTAAATTAGCTGAAAACTGCGACTCTTTGTCCTTGAATCCTTGGTGCCTCGCTGGGCCAGGGAATAAAGCAACAGCTATTTGTTTGTTCCAATTGAAGTCAATATGATAGAATCAGATTCATATCGAAAAATATGCAATGCTCGCAAACAGATGTGTACAAGCCTAGCTAAGGCCTTGGCTGGGGCTGTACGGAAAGAACGTTGCTGATTTGGTGCATGATCCCTCTGGCTATTTTTGGGCAGGGGGTTGGAGGGTGCAAACGCCTCAGCGACTGATCCTTGGATTTTCATCATTATTTGTTTGTGCATTTCATTTGTACCTTTTTTTGCCCTGTGTTGCGCTTACGCAAAAGGCAGCACCTCTTTCGAAACAGACCACCTGGAGCCTCATTTGTCACTTGTAGCAAACTTTAGCAAAGTATTGGATGCCCCAGGATTCCTTTCAAGGAAGCCCGTCATGCTCACCTATGCCGCAGTAGTCCATGTGACTTCAACAGTGACCTGCGAGAGGTAACACTGCTGAGGAGTTTCGATTTCTCGGAGGAAAACACGGAGTGATTCGAGAGAACAGACGGCCAAGATCTGCAAGGAATCGTAGGGACCACCCGATTGTTCAAGGGCAGAGCACTGCGGGCTTTGAAGCCAGCACAAGCCAAGAGCGAGAAATCTCACAGACCCTCCTTCGTGAATGCCAAAGTCAGAGTTGCTCCATTCAGAGCTTGCAATTCTCAGACTACAGTATATATATATATAATCATACATATGACATGTGTGTATATATGTATAATTCTACACTGGTATGTAAGATGACTCTCTCCCTCTCTCTATACAGCAATTCTGCATGTACTGGATGTAGACATTGGGGGCTGTGGCTGGTAGATGGCAGGTTATGGCCACAATGAGGAGTCAGAAGAGATGCGCGAGGCCCGATGCGAACTCTCGGCTCAGAGGCATGAAGGCATGAAGCAAACAGAAATCAAACCGAAACCCGTCGGCTTAATCTTGGAAGGATTCACATTCTTCCAAATTTGTATGGCAGCTGGTGATTTGTGGAGTTTTGCAGATGCGGGTAACCCAAAACAATATTTATCAACATGCCATAGATGTGTCCAAACTCACAACGAGTTCCAAAGACTAAAGAGACCCAGCACTCAGACCTTGTTGTTGCTCTTTCTGTTGAGCTGTGTTGGCATCAGCCCTTTTTTGTGCTTCTTGACAGGACGTGAAGTCACTTCAGAAGAACACACTTGAGTGTAGCACTCAGTGAGGGTCTGCAATCCTCGTAATGTCAAACTTTATTCCAATATGTTTCAAGGATTCAGAATCATCATGAGCAATGATTCCGATTGCAGCACAAGCTCATCAGAAATTGAACTTATCCAAACAGAGCCATCGCCTCAGGCTTTGCCGAAAGATGAAGGCAGTGCCCAATGTTGTACAGGAGTACCCGCAGTGAGAGAACTCAAATCGCTCCGATGCTTACCAGAGTTATCCTTAGACCGTGCAGTTGTGTTTCCAGCCCCATATACAGTAGATACTAGGGGGTCATTGTATGGATATTAGATAGGTATTGCAGATGCATATTGTAGAGCTTTGCAAACGGGTGATGCCATAAGGGTTGTTGTCGCTGCCCCTGTTGTTGTTGTTGTTGCTGCTGTTGCTGTTGCTGTTGTTGTTGTTGTTGTTGTTGTCGTTTGTCATCGGTCTTGTTGGGGCAAAAAAAAGACGGAATTTACTACCTGCTTTTTCCATTGGGGACACAAACACAATGTGAATATCATTGTTTTTGATCCTCAGCAAGCAAACACATGGTATTTACGATTGTTTTTTTTTCTCCGTGGGATGCAACAACAATGAAACAATGGCTTTTCCAGTGCTTCTTATATGTTTGCTGCCAAGCACGCCGATATTTACGCGGTCTTGAGCATGTTGCTAGCTAGCAGTATGTTTTTCATTCAACAATAGCAAGAACACTGTAGCGTTGCAAACGTTGATCCAACATTGATAAAACAATGATCCAAAATCGACCTCCGGAAGCAACTTTAAAATAGCTTGTATATGAGGCCGCGGCCAAGGCTGATATTCGTTTTTGAGGATGTGTCGGACTGGAAGGGGTAGAAAAGGTTTGGCACCGGTAGAGGCGGATTTGGGATGCATTTTGGAGCAGAATAGCATTGCGGAAAGCCGTGGCGGCGTGAGGTTTTTTCAGGTGTTCTTGGAGGCAGTTGGGCTGGGTCACAGAGAAAGGGTGAGAGGTTCATAGAGGCAGTGGGGATGGGTCGGATTGTATCGGGTACAGTATCAAGGAATGTTTAGGGGATTCAAAACCTCGGTTGTGCAACCCGTATACTGTAACACTTCTTGCTACCCCTTGCAATCCAACCCATCCCCACTGCCTTCAAGAACCCAACTGCCTCGGATATATGTGTATATATATATGTATACACATAATTACTGTGTATATATATACATATATACATACTATATATATAGATAAACCGTCTATGCCTCAACATGATCCAGGTGAATGGCTACACTTGGGACACGACAAAAAGCGGCTGAAGATGGACTTTCGATAGAGCATGACTGCGTACAGCTATATTTGGCAGAGGGCAACGCAAAACCTGCGATTCAATCCGACACGGGCAACGGCGATGCTTCACTGAACACATGCAGTATACGTCAAAACCCGGAGCCCGTTTCACCCTTGTAGGTTGACCTCCTTTGTGGTCTATTCTCTTCATATTCCCTGGTCTGTGAATACATACAGCAAGCAACAAACATGTTGGTAACTGTAACTAAACACACTTCATGATATGCATGGCTACTGCCTATAGTATCTATAGTGATGCATTGTCGAGGGCGTCTCTTTGCGCAGGAGCTCAGGAACTTCCAAGATCGAGAGAGCCGACCTGCTGCCATGATTCAGCCACATCCCTGAAGTGACCAGAACCTGGTCCCAAAAGGTCTGAAGGGGTTCCGGGTCAAAAGACACAGGAAAAGGTCAATACGAACAAGAAAGACAGCTGCCGGGGGACAAGCAAAACGAGAGACCAACGGCCAAGTTGGCTCCACTTGCGGAGAATCAGAGGAGTTTTTCGGGATTTTGTTTTGAGCATGCATCCAGCACCATCCTCGAATAGCTATAATGACTCATACATGTTTTGCATTGCCCTGATTTGACCAAGGTTCCTCAAAACTTTGGCAGACATGCAGGAATTGACCCTGAAGCGTTGACACCTTAGTGGAATGCAAAATGCAGGTAAAGGGTGAGTAGTCAGTCCCGTTTTGACTTTGTCCTGGCGGGCTCAATTTATGTTTCTGATAGGGCTTGCAGGCAAGAATGTGCAAAAGTTCTGTTTGGGTGCGCAGCAGACCGGCATTTCCCAGACCCCTGAGACAGCTTCAGTATTCTCAGCATATTGTTTCCTTCATTCAGCAAATTGTTGCACCAGCAGCTCATATACTGTGTAACTTATACAGCGATATACTGTACGTCAATCATTCATTCATCATATTTTATCAAGGTCAGCCAGTCATCTTGAGCCGTAAGGGGAATCCTGCATTGTCGTACCTCGTGTACAAAACTCATTCTACCTACTGTTTTGGCTGCTTGCAGGTCTGAGTACCACGGTGGAGGAAGAAAAAAGTAGACAGGAGCTTCTAGAGTGCTGGCCTCAGCCCTTCCCTTGGGTTAGGGGGATGAACAATCATTCCGATAATTTATATTCATGCCTTGAGCCAGATCGATAGAAGTACCCAACACTCTTTCGATTGAATGTTTCTTACCGAAACAACAAGCGTACCAGACACATCGGAGCATGTGGCGACGAGAAGATTTACTCACAAGAAGACCTGTGGAAGAGGGCAACATCCTGCTTACGGTGTATATTCTACCAAGTTGGAACAGGGCCATCGCTCAAGATTGTTCTCAGAGGACCACGCTGTTTCTTTCTTCTCACTAGGCACTACAAAAGCCGGGAAGCGGAGGACGGAGACATGGAGGGCAGAATCGCTTTGTCACCTTGCATTCCTTTTGCACACCAAACCGACCTTTCCACAGCTTTTGACCATTGTGATGAGGGCGTCGTGCCAAAATGACTAGTGACTAGGGTTCACCAGAGTGAGGCATGAGTCATGCATGAACATTTTTCCCCACCTGTCAGGTGAGGGTTGTTAGATTTTACGTCAGCCCCATCTCCTCCTCCTCCCCCTCCTCCTCCTTCTCCTTCTCCTCCACGTCCTTCTCCTCCGCCCTCAACCACGACCATCCACGACCAGTGTTCCCTGCCGGACCTCAACTGCGAGCTCCAGGCCCAAGTGTTCCCTGCCGGACCTCAACCACAACACACAAACACAACCACAATCACAACCACAACCACAAAGACACAACCACATACACACAACCACATACACACAACCACAACCACAATCACAAACACAACCACAAAGACACAACCACTTACACACAATCACATACACACAACCACAAACACACAACCACAATCACACAACCACACAACCACAATCACAAACACAACCACAAAGACACAACCACATACACACAACCACAAACACAACCACAAACACACAACCAACCACAAACACACAAGCACAAACACACAAGCACAAACACACGACCACAAACACACCACCACAAACACACACCCACAAACACACCACCACAAACACAACCACAAAGACACAACCACATACACACAACCACAAACACAACCACAAACACACAACCACAAACACAAGCACAAACACACAAGCACAAACACACAACCACAAACACAAGCACAAACACACAACCACAAACACACAACCACATACACACGACCAGCAACACAATCACAAACACGCAACCACAAACACACAACCACAAGTACAACCACAGACACAATCACAAACACACTACCAACACAAGCACAAATACGCAACCACAAACACACAACCACCAACACAGTCACAAACACGCAATTACAAACACAATCACAAACACACAACCACAAGCACAACCACAAACACAATCACAAATTGAACCACAAAAACACAACCACAAACACAATCACAAACACAACCACAAACACACAATCACAAACACACAATCACAAACACAACCACAAACACAACCCGACAAACCCCCAACCACAAACACCATCACAAACACACAACCACAAACACAGCCACAATCACAAACACCCAATGACAAGCACACAACCACTAACACAACCACAGCCACAACGACAAAGACGCAACCACAAGCACAAACGCAACGACAAACACACGACCACAAACACAATCACCAACACACAACCACAAACACACAACCACAACACACAACCACAACACACAACCACAACTCACAATTACAATCACAACACAATCACAGCACACAACCACAACGCGCAACCGGAGCATCTGAGTTGTATTATTAGTTGGGCACGGGTCTCCTGATGAAAGCATTCGCTTCGGACAAAACAGTAAGACTTGGCGCTGAAGGACTTGTGTTATGGGCTGAAATACGGCCTGAAATACACAACGATGGTGATGTC